GAGTATTTTATACAGCTTCCAAAAATTTCGAATTTCCTTGAGCTTACCCATGATTTTGTCCATTTTTAATAGAGTCACAAAGGCGAACGCATAGAATATTTATATGTAATCTAAAACTCCTAAAATTTTGTGGACCATAACTCTTGATTTTGCCTGTTTTTGACCAAATCACAAATTGTCATTGTGCATTGAATATTTTATGCGTACTCCGAAATTATTGAATTTCTATGGACTATAACCCATAATTTTGGTTGTTATTGACCAAATCACATATTGTCATCCCCCGTAGCGTATTTTATGCGTACTTAATTTTTTTTGAATTTGTGGACTATAACCCACATTTTTGCTATTTTCAACTATATCATAAATTGTTGTCCCGTAGAGTGTATTTTGTGCGTAATCCAAAATTCTGGAATTTCTGTTGACTATAACCAAAGATTGTGTTCTCTTTTTTGGTCAAATCACTAATTGTCGTCTCACATAATTTTTATACATACTCCAAAATCTATAAATTTCAATGGACTATAATATATGGTTTTGGCAGTTTTCGACCAAATCACGAGTTGCAATGCAACATAGATTATTTTACATGTACTTCAAAATTCCTAACTTTTTCTTAATTATAACAATGATTTTGATTGCTTTGGACCAAAGTTACCATTCCACAGATTTATGCGTACACTGAATTCCCAAATTTTTATAGAAAAAACCAATTATTTTGGCCATTTTTGATCAAATCACAACTTTTCACCATGGATTGTTGCATAAAATGTATTATGCATATTTCAAAATTTCTGTATTATTGTGAACTATAATTTATGGTTGTGGCCGCTTTCCACCAAATCATAGATTTTTTTGTCACATAGAATATTTCATATGGAATCCAAAAATTTCAAATTTCTGCAGACTATAACCCATTATTTTGGCCATGGTCGACCAAATCACCAGTTGTCCTCCATAGAATATTTTGCGTACTTAAAAATTCTTGACTTTTTAGTTTTTATGACCGATGATTTTGGTCGTTCTTAACCGAATTATGAATTGATGTTTTGAATAGATTATTTGTGCGTACTAAAAATTTTCTGAATTTGTACAGACTATAACTCATGATTTGGATTGTTTTCAACCAAATTACTAACTGTCGCCCCACATAAATTATTTTATGTGCACTCCAACTTCTTGAATTTTTGGACTATAATGCCTAATTGTGGCCATTTTCAACCAAATAACAAAATTCTTCTCTGCATAAAACATTTTTATGCATAGTCTGAAATACCTGATTTTTTATGGACTACAACTCATGATTTTGGCCGATTTTGATCACACATTGTTGGCTCACATAGAAAATTTTAAACGTACTCCGAAATTTGCAAATTAATGTAGACTACAATCTAATTTTGCTGTTTTCGACCAAATAAAAAATTGTCATACCATATATAATATAGTTTTTCTGTTTGTACTCAAAATTTTCTGAATTTATGTGAACTATAACCGATAGTTTTGGTTATTTTCAACCAAATCACAAATTATCATTTCACTTAGAGTATTTATGTGTATCCATGATTGTGCTCCTTTTTGCCCAAATCACAACTTGTAGTTCGATATAATTTTTTTTTGTGTATACTCCATAAATTATGAATTTCTTTGCACAATAATCTATTATTTTGGCTGATTTGGACCAAATCATACGTTGCATATCATGTAGAATATTTTAATATTTAACAAAATTTCATCTTGCATCGAATATTTTAAGTGTGTTGCAAAATTTCCAAACTTTTGTGGATTATAAGTTATAACCCATGATTTTGGCTGTTTTTTACCATACCACAAATTGTCTCGCATAGAATGTTTTATTCGTACTTCAAAGTTCCTTAATTTCATGGATTATAAACCCATGATTGTGGGTTTTTTCCTACCAAATTATAAGTTGTTCCAGATAGAATATTTTATGTGTACTCTAGAATGTTTGAATTTCTTTTGATTTAACTCATGAATTTGGTCATTTTCAACCAATTCACAAGTTTTCGTCCCATTTAGGATGTTTTATGCGCACTCCAAAACTCGCAAATTGCTGTGGAATATAACCTATGATTTTGGTCGTTTTTGTCAAAGTCACAATTTGTCTTGCATCTAATATTTTATGCGCCCTAAATTTCTCTGGACTATAATGCATGATTGACTATTTTCAATCAAATCACAAATTATTATTTCACCTATAATATAATAGTTTATGCGTCCTTCAAAATTCTTGAATTTATGTTGAGTATAACCTATAATTTTGTCCATTCACGAACAAATCACAAATTGCTGTTCTGCATAGAGTATTTTTTCTATAATAAAAAAAGTTCTGAGTTTACGTGGATCATAACTCATTATGTTGGGCGTGTTCGACTAAACCACAGATTACTGTCCTGCATAAAGTATTTTATACGCAGTCAAATATTTTCAAGTTCTAGTGGACTAGAACTCTTGATTTTGGCCCTTTCGACAAAATCATACCTATTGTCCTATATACCAGATCTTGTTTGTACTTAAACAATTCCATATTTCTGTGGATTAGTAATGTTTTATGTTGTTTTTTTTATCAAATCATAATTGCCGTTCCGCATTGACAATTTTATGCAGTCTCTAAAATCCTGATTTTTTGTGGATTACAGCTAATTATTTTGACCGCTTTCAACTAATTAACAAATTTGCGTGCTCCTTAAAATGCTTTTTTGTGTACTCGAATTTTTTTGAGTTTTCATAGACTATAGCCTATACTTCGGTCGTTTTTGACTAAATCTCAAATTACCTTCCCAATTTTATGCATTCTGCAAAATTCCTAAATTTTTGTTGAGTATAGCTCATAATTATGGCTGATTTTGACCATTTCATTGCTTTGTCAAATAAAATATTTTATGCATACTCCACAATTTACGAATTTCTGGGGACTATAATCATGATTTGGTTGTTTTCGACTACTTCACAGTTGTCATCTCGTAGAGAATATTTTATGCATACAAAATAGTTCTTGATTTTTTGTGGACACATGATTTCTACCATGTTGGACTAAATCCCAAATTGTCGAATTTTATTTTGTATTTTATGTGTACTCAAAATTTATATATTTATGCGGACTATAAACAAGGATTTTGATCGTTTTCGAGCAAATCACAAATTGCCGCCCTACGTAGAATATTCTATGCGTACTCCAAAACACTCGAATTTCCATGGACTATAAAATCTCTAGAGTGGCCATTTTTGAGCAAATCACAATTTGCGTTCCCACATAATATTTTATCTATAATATAAAATTCGCAAGTTTTTGTGGATACAACCTATGATTATGGCCATTTTCAAGTGAATTACAAATTGTCGTCTTGCATAGAATATACCATGCATACTCAAGTTAACCCATAAATTTGGCCGTTTTCTACCAAATTACAAATTGTCATCCTGTATAAAATATTTTATGTGGATTGTGGACTATAAGCCATGAGTTTTGCCATTTTTGACCAAATCACAAGTCCTCTTCATGCATAGATTATTTGGTACATACTCAAAATTTCTTAAATCTAGTGGACTATATAATTTATGACTTTGATCGGTTTCGACTAAATCATAAGTTGTCGATCCGCATAGAATATTGTATGCATACTACAAAATTCCCAAATTTTTGTAGACTATAATCCATGAATTTGTCCGTTTTCGACCAAATCACAAATTACGATCCTACGTATAATATTTTATGCTATACTTCAAAATTCAAAATTCCACATCTATTTGGAGTACAGGCTACAGCCCATGATTGTGGCCATTTTCGAATTGCCATCTCTCATAGAATATTTTATGCGTACTTGAGAAGTCTCGAATTTCTCTGGACTATACCTATGATTTTGACAGTTTTTGACCAAATTAGAAATTGCCTACGTACATAAAATACTTTATGCTTGCTCCAAAATTTCTAAATTTATGTGGATTATAATCCATGGATTTGACCGTATTATTCACGAGGTTATAGTCCATAGAATAATTTATGCGCATTCAAAACTCTTGAATTTTTGTGGACTGTAACTGATTATTTATGCTATTCTTGACCAAATCACAAATTGTTGTCCAGCATAGACTATTTTAAAAGTACTCAACATTTCTAAAATTTTGTGGACTTATAACTCATGACTTTGGATGCATTCGACCAAATCACAAATAGTTGTCTCACATAGAGTATTTTATTCATATTCCAAATTTCTGTGGACTATATAACTCATGATTGTGCATGTTTTCATGCAAATCACAAATCCAACATAATTTTTTTATGTGTACTAATTTTTTTTATATGTACTCCAAAATTTTCAGTGTACTTCAATACATCATTTTGGCAAAAGTTGCAGTCTTGCATAGAATATTTTATGAATACTCCAAAATTCTCGATTTTTTCGGGCAAAAGCCCATGATTTTGTGGTTTTTGATCAAATCACAAGTTGCCATCGAATTCCTTTCTTAATTGTCATGCATGTGTGATATGTATACACATTTGTTTGTTGTGTGTGAATTTGAGCAGGCATACGTACACTGGATGAACTGACAAAATTGATTCAGGCAGTCATGCAATGTCTTTTTATCATATGTCCCTCATTCTTTCAGTCTTTCGTTTTCTGTTTTTGTGATGCCACTTATTTGCTTCATTTTCTATTCTATCTGCACCCTGAATTATATGCTCGGTTATGCGTTACTGTTGAGGGTTTCATGAACATTCTTTTATGAGATGTCCTGGGTAATCCCATTATATGGGGCATCTGATAACTATAGTTCATATGAAGTGCAGAAAGCAGCTCTTTTCCAAATTGTTTTCTACTGTGTTGTTTTATGTGAAAAAGAGTGTAGAAGATTATTTTATCGTTATATTTGTCAGTTGCTGCTTCTGATATTGTGGATAAATTACGCTGTGTCTGATCTCGGATAAATTTCACGCATGTCAGGTCACAGTTCTCATATGCTTATTGCTTATTGCTTGTCAGGTCACAGTTCTCAAGGTCGCCCTCTCAGTTCCCAAGGTCGCCCTCTCAGTTCCCAAGGTCGCCCTACCAGTTCTCAAGAGCGTCCTGCTTCAGCATCTGAAGCAGATCCAAATCTGAGAGGATTTTTGGAGCCTCAGCTAGATGGTGAGTTTGCAAGCCCGAGTTTTGGTCATAGATGTTAGATTCCTTAGTCATGCTATCCCTTGAACCTGTACCCTTTGGTTGATTACATGGTTCCGTGAACAATGCTAATCATCCATTGCTCGTTTCATTATCCATGATAAGTTTTATTTTTTTCTCTTCTTAGCAGGAAATAAGAATACAAATCACTTGGACCATGGAACTGTTATTAATACGTGGAAGGCAGATAATCCTGCTTATGCAGGACACGGTGCCTCACCAAACATGGAGAACTGGCACAGTGACTACCACCTGGCACCTCCATATCCAAGTACGAATATGCCACCTCCTCCATTTGATTCTTGGCATAATCCTTCATTTCGCCCATCTGAAGGATCTTGGTATAGAGGTGGAGCAGTTGGGGGTCCCTATAGGCCACCTGGCAGTTACCCTATGGATTATACTCATGATCCTGCAAGGCCATTATCTAATCCCCAGTTTACAAGTCAGGATGCTGGTCCTCGTGGATTCTATCCTAACAACTGTGGACCTTATCGTCCATACATGCCACCAGAACGGTACATGGGTCCAGGTTGCCCTGATATCCAAGTTAGACCTGGACCTTATGTGGAACCAGTGCCCTTTGGTTCTCGCCCAAACTTTTACAATCCTAATGAGAGGGAAACTTCCATAATGGGAATGGCTCGACCTGTTCATAACCAATATCCAGTCCAACATGGAAACCTTAATATGAGACCTGGTGGATATGCTACTGTGGGGAACAAAGAGCAGATAAAAGGTAATCAAGCTCATGAAACTCAAGGGCAGTTCAGGGTTCTGTTAAAGCAGCACGAGGGTTCAGGAGACCGTGGCGAACAGGAAAGGGGAGGTCACTTTATAACTGTTGGCTCTCCACATCATGGAAGTGCAAATTATTCTCGAAGTTCTAGTCAGAACGGAGATGATGAAACGAAGAGTCAAATGCAGGAAACAGTATCTCCCAGTTTTCCCGCAGAGACAGTATCTTCTCAGACTAGTAGAGTCGTGGATGGCCGATCTAAAGATGTTAGAGACATGGTAGCCGATTCAAGCAACACAACTGATGGAAGGAGGACCGGAGCTGTAAACGTCCAGAGTTGTGGTCTGAAGCAATATCCCATAATTAAAAAGAATGCAACTCTGATGGAAAAAGTGGAGAGCCTAAATAATAAAGCTCGAATTGCTGACGGTTATTGTGAAAGTCAGTCAGTTTCAAGAGAGAAATCAACATCTTCCAAAAACTTATCAAGAACCGATCAGTTTACCAGCGTAGATAGTACTAATGCTGGCTTTGCCGAGGCTTCTGCTGTTACTCTTAACGTCAAAACTCCAATTATTAAAATTGAAGAGTTGAATGTGTTAACGGAAGAAAAAAACAAACAATCAACTAAGGACAACATATGTCTTCCTGCTCCATCAAACTCTGAGGGTGGTGGTGAAGATCCTCTTATTGTCGGTCATAAAGAAGTTCAAGGCACTAGAAGAGTTGATAGTCACACTAAATTAAGATCTATCAGACATAATAATGAACAATGGATGAAAAAGTCTCCTGGAAGTGAATCCTCTGTGAATTCCAGTAGGATGAGTGCTAAAGGAGGAACACTTGAATTTGATGCTTCCCATGAGAAGCAGGAGTTGTGCCTTGAAGCGGGTGGTGTGGAAGAATCACATGCAGTATCTTCTTTGGATCCAGTTGATCACGAAGCTCAGGTTTGCAGTATTATTCTTTTCTTGCTGATCAGATCCTTTTCTTGGCTCCAAGTTTTATTTGATTTCCTTCTAGATAAACTTGATACCTCGGTCATCTTCTTAGAATTTTTGTGTAGAAATGAAGTATATCAGGTAACATTTGAAGTGAGAAATATAAGAAAAGTCTTTCCTTGGAGGTTGATGCATATGAAGAATGAAATTAATTTGAAAATTGTAGCAACAGTGATCAATAAACTATTTTCTCGGATTTTGAGGGTCTGAGTTTTTCCAAAGAAAATAAAAAGAATCAATAATAGTTAATAATATAGACACATAAAAAACAGAAAATGAAGGTTTAAGTAAGAAGATGACAAGAATTGTGGAATTGTCCTAGTGGTATATAGAACATCCTCATAGTCATCTTCCTTCATAACATGTCAGTTGTGGACCTTGGCTGAATTTTGAGATAGTTATTGAAAAAGAATTAACCAAGTTTTACCAGTTATTAAATTGATTTCAGTTCTGGCTTGTGCAAATTTCCTTTTTAGATGGCTATGAGCAAAGGAGAGGGACATGAAACCTTGGCAGCCATTTGGCAATTAAATAAACCTACAATTTTTTATTTATTGAGTAGCTTCTAAGACTGCATTTTCAGAAAACTAGCCAAAAGCCTAGTTTGGCTAGTGGAATCACATTGGATAATAAAATTGTTTAGAATCAGAAAACGATACCTGGAAGCAGCTAATCTCTTGTCCTTGCACTAAAGCAAATATGGAAGTATCAACTCAAGTGTTCATTATATATAGCTTCATATAGACATATATATTTCAACTGTGATGAATGCTGAAATTATCAAGTTGTGAAACGTAAAAGTTTATCATTAATATGTGCAAATAAGTTCTCTTAATTTGTTTGATCGAGGATGATGGTATTGGACTGGTGGTGGTTTGCAAATTCTTAAACCATTTTCTAGTAGAGGGAAACAAAACATCTATCTTGAAACCTGTTAATTGTTAAATCATTTTTCAGAAACCTGGTCATTAATCTTTGATATTATTACCTTGTTTTGTAGCGTACTAGAATGAAAGAGATGGCAGCACAGCGTGCAAAACAGCTGCAAAGGGAAGAGGAAGAGAGGACAAGGGGACAAGGGAACAAAAAGCAAAAGCTCTTGCAAAGCTGGAGGAATTGAACAGGCGAACATTAGCAGAAAGTTCTACCCTGAAGTCCAATCATGTTCCATCAAAGAGTAGTGATGTTCAGAATGGTAACCAGGAGACTGGACCTGGTGATAAAATTTCTACTGAAGCTGTCTGTGGTACCTCAGATTGCCATTCTGAACAAATGAAACGGGCAGTTGATAGTGGTGGTAAGAAACCTGCTCAATCGTTAAGCTCTTCTGTCCAATCTTCTGTAGTGACAGAGGCCCAATCTGTATCCCTGGGACAAGAGATCAAAACTACTGGAGAAATTGCACCGGAAGCTACTTCAGATATTCTACATAACACAGTTTCCAGGCAGAAGCAGCTGGGTTATAGAAAAAAGAATAATATTCTTCATGAAAACATCGCAGGTGGGAAGCAAACAACTTCCAGCAGTATCGGGAACCCTAAAGATACCATCGAGGTTGAGGTGAATACATCAAGCAAGGATTCTTTGCCTAACAACGAAGTTCCTCATGTTCAACACAAGAAAAATAACAGGAGTACGAGGAGCAGTAGTGATGACAATGATGAGAGTATGACAAGCTCTGCTGTTTCAGCTCCTTTCAATGTGGGAGGGAACTTAGACAAACTCAAAGATGAAAGTGGGAAGACCAAACCCTCAGCTGCACTGGCAGAAGCTATATCAGTGTCTTCTGAGAGAGAGAATGAAACTGTAGGAACTCTGGATTCCAAGGTAGTACCTATATCTGAGAGAAATGAAGGAACTCATGGTAAAGTGAGCAACCGCTGGAAGCCTCACCCTCATAGAAAAAACCAACAGGCTAACAAGCCAATTTCGAAGTATCATCAGACTGAGGGTGTCATGTGGGCTCCTGTGAAGTCCACAAACAAGATTGAGATTGATCAAGTCAGTCAGAACAATGCACCAAATGGACCAAAAACAAAGAGGGCAGAAATAGAGCGGTATGTTCCAAAGCCTGTCGCCAAAGAACTCTCACAGCCGGATCAACAAACAACAGCTGCTTCTGATAGCAGAAATGGGGAAAAGGTCAAACATAACAAGCATGGACGAACAAATTCCTCGTGGCGTCAACGGAGCTCAACTGGATCTCCATCAGTTGAAGGTTCCTCGTCTTCTGATCAGCTGCAGACATTAAATATTGATAACTTACGGAAAGAGCAGTTGACACATACTGATGATGGCTGGAACGATAACGAGAATCTGCTGCCAAGTGGATCAGTGACCTCGACCGCAGCTTCAAAGAGCTATGAAGCAAGCAGACAAAGGCGCCATCCATATAAAGTGCACAGAGTATCCGGAAATAACTATCCTACTTCAGATAATGTCGATTCTCGAGCCTTAGGTGATAATGAATCAGAAGGAAGAAGCATCATGAAAATTGATAGCCAGAATGCTGGAATTGAAAATATAAAGCCTCATTGGCAGCCAAAATCTCATAGGGGTAACAGAGGACAAAGGGCAGAGAGTGCCCCAACAGCGATGAATGAAGAAGATAGAACTTCGAGCAAAAGAACTCCTGTATCTGAAGCAAGAGAAGCACCCCATCAACAGTCTAGGAAAGAGAGAAATGCAGTTCCTGATCTAGCAAAGGAAGAGATTATTCCTGAATTAACTCCCCAAAACATTGATTATCAACGTGGACAGTACAGTGGCAGTTATCAGGGGGGGCATGACAGTAAGTATAGAGGTCGGAATTTGACTCAAGATGGGAGCAAACACAAATTTCAGGCAAATGAAGATGAGCATATCGAGTCTTATGATAAGCCCACGGGTTCATCTCAGCAAAACCCTCGTGCTGGTAAAGTAGCGAGTGAGGGTTCTAGGGCTTCTGGACCCAGGTACAGGGAGAGAGGTCGCAATTTCTCGCGTGGTGGTGGTGGTGGTCAATTATAGGGACTGAGACAACAGACGCAGTATCATTCACATGGTAGTGTTACATATGCAATTCACATGACTGGTATGTGACATTAACAATTATGTCTGGAGCGAAACTCCTGCAAATCTAAAGTGGACTTTTTGCTCTGCCCCCTAAATGGTTTATCAGCTGGATTCTCTTTGAGATGTGTGTTTGAAAAAGATAGCCTCGCTCAGCACACGTCTCAGATTAAAACCCAGCGGTAAATTGGTGTCAAAAGTTTTCAGTCCACTTGAGAGTTTATTAGAGCTTTTCGCACAATGTTCTGTACGTGTATTTTGTTCTACATTTATATTGCTTTCTGAAGTATCTGTTTCCAAACTGAGCCCAGGAGGATCTAGAGACGGATGGATCCGTTTAATTACGGCGATGTTGCTGTTGGGAGTTTTTCAGGATGGGTTGCTTTTGTTGTTCCACACCCAAGTTTATGTATTAACAGGAAACCGAGGTTCTTGATTTATTATTTTTCCTGTGGGATTTTGACTTAAAGATTTCAATTTTTAATCCACACCATGTAACCGCTTTGAACTCCTTTAAGTATGCGCGGAGCTTTGTATAGAGAGTATTAAGCCCCCGAGTTGGGTTATCTCTAAAATCTATGTTTTCGTGTCGTTGTTCTCACTAATTTCTTGGTTGTGGCTGATTCTGTGATGTAGTTTGTGAAAGAACTGGATGATGCTCGAGTTTTGATTTTTTTTTGTACTAGTTTTGATTTATTTTTCTTTTCCTTCTTCTTTTTTGGCTTACCATCAACGTACTCTACATGTAGTTCTTAAGATTATTTCTTTATTCGGATGTCGTTAGCCGTTTCGTGTAGTTCATTTCCTCCAAATGGCCCTCCTGAAGACTGGGAAGCAATTTTTGTACGTGCTCTTCAGATGTTTGTTTAATTTGCAGAAGGGGTTTTGAATGAAAAGACTGATTAGGGACGGCAATCAACATAATAACACCCATAAACACATAATTCCATTTACACACCTCTGAACATACATGAGAAGCCACCGTATCCCCCCTTCATCATCCCACCGACCACACCACCACAACAGGAGGAACACGTTAAAACTAAGAACACAACACCCGAAACAGTAAAAACTAGCTACTTCACCTGAAACCCTTCAAGCTTCTGCGAAACGGAGGTACTGCTTCTCGGAGGGTAGGTCCACGGTATCGTACCCCTGCGGGAACATCTTATCCGCCTCCTCGTTGCTCACCCCGGGGGGTATCACCACCTTGTCCCCGGGCTTCCAGTTCACCGGCGTGGCCACCTTGCGCTCCGCAGCCTTCTGCAGAGCGTCCACCACCCTCAGAACCTCGTCCATGTTACGGCCGGTAGTGGCCGGGTACAGAAAGCTCACCTTAACCTGTTCCACCACCCGGCAGTCAATAAACAAACGTATAGTCTTTGATTAAGTTAAAGTTTAATTACCTTCTTGTCTGGACCCACAATGTGAAGGGCCCTTGACGGGAGCTGACCCTTGTCATCGTGCTCATCAGGATCCACCATGTTCAGCTGCTTTATCACTTCCCTCTTCGGGTCTGCCGCAATTGGATAGCTGACGTTGCATCCTGTCTGTTTAAAAAAAAAAAAGAAGAACATGATGAATTTCTACATCAAAAATTTAAAAAATATAGTCACGATCTAATTTTTTTATGTTACTTAAAATGACTTAACCATCAATTTTAATTTTCAAGAAACTAACTACTGGTTAATTAGGAAAAATTTGCAAAATAATCTGTTTTTGCTAATTATTTAGCAAAATAGTCCGTTTTGCTAAATAATTAGCAAAATACACCTATTTTAAAAAAAAAGGTCGATTTTAAAAAACAAGACTCAGAAAATATACGGGACTAGTAGTCCCGTATGTTTAGAGCTAACTTAATCACGGATTAGTGACTCAGAAAACATACGTGACTAGTAGTCCCGTATGTTTTCGTATGTTTTCTGAGTTCATCTTAATGTTTTGTGAAATTTTCTGAGTTCACTAATCCGTGATTAAAACATTTTCTGAGTTCATCTTAATGTTTTGTGAAATTTTCTGAGTTCACTAATCCGTGATTAAAACATACGGGACTACTAGTCCTTTGTGAAATTTTCTGAGTTCACTAATCCGTGATTAAAACATACGGGACTACTAGTCCCGTATGTTTTTGTTTTCTGAGCTGTTTTGCAAAATAGACCTCTTTTTGGCTGTTAGTCAAAAAGATGTTTATTTTGCTAATTATTTAGCAAAATGGTCTATTTTGCTAAAACATATTGGCTAATTAGAAGAACATGATGAATTTCTACATCAAAATTTAAAAAAAAAATAGTCACCGATCTAATTTTCTTTATGTTACTTAAAATGACTTAACCATCAATTTTAATTTTCAAGAAACTAACTACTGGTTAATTATTATCATTACAGTGTACGCCTCAATGTCCTTAATCCACGCCTTGTGGCTCTCCACGTCATCACAAGACAAGCCAAGCAGCTTCACCCCCCTCTTTTCGAACTCCGGCGCGTACTTCGCCATCATCCCGAGCTCCGTCGTGCAGACCGGCGTGAAGTCCCCTACGAGACCAACCAAGACCCAACACGTAAGCGGACCACAATAGCGT